TGGTCACCCAGACACTGCAATAGTGGGGTACATATTTGTTTGATCCACTCCGGCAAGAACAAGCACAAGGTGAACAGAATGAAGTTACACCAGAGATGACAAAGGAATGTCACCACAGTTCAGAGATTAGCTATGAAAAGTGTAGAAATTCATAGCACTGAAAACAAAAATCTCAAAGCAATGGAAAATATGAGTTGTACATTTTGAAAAGGAATGCTACTGAATGTTTGAATAATACATTACGGTTCTTAAGATAGATCAAATGTACTTTTGTGCATTTCAGAAGTTAGGTTGAGTCTTTGCTGCTTGCTTTATTACTTGATCAGTAGTCATTTGCCCAGACTTACCCCTGAAATAGGGACTCCACTAAGTGAGCCTGATTTCTGTTTAAAAAGAAAAGAAACACATGCAAAATCAGTATAACAAGGTCCAGTGGGGGAAAAAAAAGCACAATGGATCCATTTATTAATGCCATGTCATTAACAGAGGCAATTCAAAGTGTGATGAAAAGACCTACATTTCTTATGGTTGAAGTGTAGTGACACAGTAAAGTGCACATTACTAACAAGAGACACAGTGAGCAGTGTCAGACTCCGCTCCAGGTGGATCAGTCCCCTGCGTTTTGTTCCAACCTGAGCTCTCAGTTACACAATGGGTCAAACTTGGCTCTGAGGTGTAACTAACTTTAACGCAGTCAGATTTCAGTAATTAAAAGTAAAAGTCCTTGATACCTTTCATGTATCCGACTAAAAAACATAATTAGGTTAATTGTTTAACTGGCTACTCAGATTGGAAGAAAACAGGCCCTCCAGGAAGTGAGATTTGCCCCTGGTTTCAGGCTTGTGAACCGTTCATCCCTCAGTAAGGTTTTAAAAAGCTGGTAAAATGTTTACAAAAGATTAAAATGATTTTTGTTTTACCAAATTAGAAAAATATATTGTACATTTAAACGTCTTTTCCTTTTAGATTTTTACTCAGGATCCTGCTCATTATAACTTTACTGTCCTTAAGGCCCTGGTCAGCTGTGGACAGTCAAGCCCCAGGACGGATCTCATCCTTTCCCCC